CTTTATATTTACTGAGGGTTGCCCTATGGCATAATATATGGTCTATTTTTGAGAAGGATCCATGTGCTGCTGAGAAAAAAGTATATCCAATTGAAAAATCTAACAATCTAAACAATTCAGTTTGGAGACAATAAAGAGCTCAAGACTACCTAGTCATGTAACTATATCTTGGGGTTAATTCAGAAAATCAAGTATAGAAGCACTTCATTAAGCTTCTCATTAATATTTTCCATCTCTACAAACCTGAAACCAGGGTGTGACTTAAGATCTAGGACTAGAAATTGGCTTGGTGCTACACACCTTCAATTCCATCAACTCAATAGGCTGAGACAGAGGATTGCAAGTTTGAAGCCAGACTCAGCAATTTTGTGAGATTGTAAGCAACCTATTAAGACCTGGTCTCAAAATAAATAACTTTAAAGGGCTGAAGATATAACCCAGTGGCAAAGCACCACTGAGACCAGTTTCCAATACCCTAAACAAACAAAAAATAATCAAATAATTGAGAACAAGAAAAATACTTGAGAACAAAAAAAAAAACACTGAAGAATAATTCTGAAGATTTATTGGAAGTAGAATCATTCATTGTTCTTCTAACATGCTGATTTCTATTATTTCATCATTCTTAGTACAATATGGCTGTGTTTATGTGTGTGTGTGTGTGTGTGTGTGTGTGTGTGTGTATGTGTGAGTTTGTATGTTTGTATGTGTATCTTATCATATTCTTATCTGAAATTTTAAAAAATTCAATCCATCAGATTTAGGGCAGATCTTTCTCTTTATGCAATTACCTATGACACTTGGGTTTTATAAAAAACAGATCTTTTGTAGATGCCAAAGAAACACAAACTGAATGAGCGTCACAGTTTACATTTATCCAACTGCCAAGCTCCCTCTCAGTTTATAACAAAAGAAACTCCTAAACTTAATTCTCCCACAGGTCTGCTTTTGGTTAACTAAATATTTCTTAATTGTGTAGAAAAACTTCACCCAAAATTTAGTGCAGGTTTGAGGAGGCTTATTTCCTTAATACTTTTGATGATGTTCTACCACTGAACTACATTTCCATAGCTGAGGTCGAATGCATGTACCACCATGCCAAACTATTTTTTCCAATGTTGGTTCAGTGGAAAAGAGCACCAAAACAAAAGAGAGAGAGAGAGAGAGAGAGAGAGAGAGAGAGAGAAGAAGAAGAAGAAGAAGAAGAAGAAGAAGGAGAAGAAGAAGAAGAAGAAGAAGAAGAAGAAGAAGAAGAAGAAGAAAGTTACCAAAAAGGAAGAAATAAAAATAAATCAGAGATTTCAAACTTTAAATATCCATAGGGGAATTCAAACTTTCAAACTTAGTAAAGCCAACATACTTTCTATTCTACATTTGACTAGAAGTTTGCCCAGAAATACAGTGACACAAGAATTAATGTATTTCCCCATTACTGAAATTAAATCTTTTATACAGACACGTTAATAAAATCATAATTGCTGTTTTATTGTTCATTGTGTAGAAAATGTATGCTTTCCAGGTAAATAGACACATTTAATTGTTTGTTTTGTGGAACTAGGGATTTAAACCAGGGGTACTCTACCTCTAGGCCTTACCTATTTTTTTTAATTGATATAGGATCTTGCAGATATGTGAAACTTGTGATCTTATAGCCTCTGTCACACAAAACATTAGACTGCAAATGTCTCTGTTCAAGTCTTGGAGAGTTTTAATCATAAACAATTGTCTCTGAATACTTCTATAAATTGAAAATATTTCAGAGTCTGGATCTTTTT